GCCCCCCACCACCATTTTTCAGTGCAGAGATGCTAATACATGTGATGCCAGAGTCTGCTGAGCATGTTTATTTCTGTGCTCCAACATGTCAGAGCTGGCTCCCTGCACACGTATAGGAGCCCTCTAACCTCACAGCTCTGACAAATTCTATGTGAACTTGATCAAGGCATTTAAATTCTCTCTTCCATTTTCCCTAATTGTCAAAAGGACATAAGATTAACCTGCTCATTTCGCAGGGATGCCGTGGGTCCATCTGATTTAATGTTTCTCAATTAGATTTGAAAATACAAAGCACGTTGAATGTTCTATGGCTCAAGCTCATGATCATAGCTTAATTTCAGTATCAACTCTCTTAAAGGAAAAAGCTAACAACAAACATAATAATCTTTAGCTATTCATCCTGCTCATCTATTTAACAGGGGTGTGCAAATAGTGATACACCAAAAATGAAAGCAAATGAAGTACTGGGCTATAAAACGCCTCTTCTAACATTAACAGTAAAAAATCAATTATAAAACAAAACTTGCAGATCCAGGAACTGATGCTGATCACTGTCAGTTCTCACCAACAGCACACAGCCTTACACAGGAGTTGTTCAATACTCTGCAGGATCCATGTCTCAAATCAACAGGCACATTTCAATGCATAACTTCTATATGGGCAAACACATTCAACAACAGTCAGTAGCAACCTTTTCATCAGGCAGGACAAAAAATTAGTCCCACACCCTCTTTGGGTGCCACTCCAATCCTCTTCCTCCTCTTGATCTGCTGCTCTTCTTTTTGCTTCCTGCCCTGCCTGCTACTGTGCTGCCCCTCCTCTCCTCAGTCTGTAGTGCACCATATGCAGAGGCTGCCCATGCCACTTGTGGCATGTGTGCTGCAGGCTGGCAAACCCTATTCTAGAATAGTACTAGCAGCGGCAAGAGTTTTCACATTGCAGCAATAAATATTTTCCAAAGGCAACATCGTCAAGGTCCAGTTGATCAGGCAACAATACATATTAGCTGTGTACTCCACTAAAGCTTTTATTTTAAAACGTGAGAAAGAAATAACCTCATTGTGTTCCAAACAGGCAATCATGATCTCTGACAATATGACAACTCCAGTTCTTCCTACGCCTGCGCTGCAATGCACCAGTACAGCAGGGTTAGGGCTTTTAGGATCCACTGTGCTGTTTGTATGGCGCCGCACTGACTGTATCTCTTCTAAGTATGCTGTTGGTTCCAAAAGAAAAAAAAAAGACATATAGATGCATACTCCACCATGTTATTCTGTAATGAAAGTTGCAACAGTCAATTGTCATAGTGCATTAAATGGTATTCCTGCTAACAATGTTTCAATAAGTAAATTAATATCCCATTCAAAGCAATAGGAAGTTGCAAAGATTATTATCTCTTTACTTGGTGTTTTGTGCCTGGGAAGCATTTTCCTGGCAAGGTGGCCTATGGCCTGAGCTTCTGTTGCTGGCAAACATTTACATGAATGGCATGCAATGTAATTATATTTTGATTTACAGGGATTTTAATAAATAAACTGCATCATCTTAGAGGCAGAAATAGAACTTTAATAAATGGACAAATATATTCCTGCCAAAAATACCAATCCAGCCTCCATCACTAGTGTGAAAAAACCTCTTGTATCAGGATGTTTCAAGGTCCTATATTGAAGCCATATTAGGTGGTTTTGTTGCAGAGGGGATTAATACAACTTACAAAGAAATCCCTTTATATCCTCTGGGCAGCCATGCTCTGGCCAGTCGGTGTACTGCAGGTGCCAAACTGTTCTCTCCTGCCCTGTGAGAAGGTGTTTGATCTTCAAGCCTGTAGTTGCATAGCAGCCTGAGTCCGTACGGAATCGTGTGGTAATCTTAAATCTCCCATATGTGACAGTGTTGTGTCTTGACCCAAGTCGTGGCCAGTACCTAAAACACTTTTCTCTCCCGGCCTCCTTGAAAACAAGGTATTGTAAATATCAGGTGTGAAAATATACACAACTGACAGTGTTGTAGCAATTCCAGCATTTCCATCCTACTATGTACTCCTAAAGGCTTCTTCACAAGCTTAACTAGTCATCAGTTAATGAAGAAGCCAATACTAAGGCCTGCTCTATGTAATCTAGGACTTTCCAATAGAGTTATGCCAATAAATCTGTCTAGGGGAGGCAAGCCACACCTATCCCCCTTAAAAGAATCCTTTTTGCCACTGTAACTGTCATCACTAGACTTTTTGCCCCAACCAACTTCATCATACTAATAGAAGTTTCTAGTGTAGACTTGGCCTCAACAGCAAGTACCTACCTCTTCTGCTGTCACCATTGCAATAATGGCAACCCCTTGTTCCCATACCATCTGCCAGAAATCCTGACATGTATTCTGCAAAGGGCCTTGTGTAGCAATATAATCCCACTCAATGCCCCCAATGGAAACCTGTTAAAAAAGGGGGAAAAATGAGGGTTCTGTGAGGTTATAAGGAACATGTTCTGTGAAAGTGTAGAAGTTGAAAGAAAATGGTAAAAATGAGGGATTGAAGGTAGGTATTCCGAGTCATGTAATCCTACCTGGTTCACTCCCTACCATTACCACCACAACAACTATAAACAGGTTGAAGGAAATAGGTATATTTAGTTTAGAGAAAAGGAGATTAAGGGAAGACATGACCATAATTTTCAATAATCTGAAAGCTGCTAAAAAAGAGAGGAAGAACAAACTGAAGGGAATGGGATTAAACTATAGCAAAAACAGATTTTGATTAAATCTCAGGGGGAAAAAAAACTTCCTGGAGCACATGACTTCTGAGGTCCCTTTCAAGCTTCTAATTCTCTCTTATTTTAAACATAAATGCAAAAGAAAAATACAGTTAAGGAGACGTATTTTAAATACACAATATATAGTACAACTGAGGGAAAAAATTAGTGTCTCCTACTGGGTAAACTGTACGCATTTAGAAAAACTTGGTTTCAGAGAAGTATTCTAGCTATCATGTGGGTAGTGCCATTTTTACAGAATTAAAGAGAGTGTTCCTTGGTCAGTGAATGAAGGTTTTCCCTTCAGATTTCTGAGTTGATTCAGGAAAGCCAAAAGGACCTATTTTTCAGGTTCTGTTTTCACATACACCAACTATCTGGTTGCTATTATGCCAAATCCCATTAAAAACATATAACTGCCTACCAGTACCTAAGAGACCTTAACTTTCTTCAAAAGCCTCAAATGATTTGAAGTTATATCCTGGAAAAGGGCAAGAGCCCTGAAAATACATTGAAATTCACTTCAGAAAGTTTCTTTATAGGGTTTAAGAAAAGGGGCACATAGCCAGGGGTGATGGTGGAAGATAAGTGAAGAACAGCTTCCTATCCAACTCCATTTCCTTCCTGTAGCCATCCAAAAAATGCTCTGGCACACAGCGGGCACTGCCACTTTAAAAGTCTGGTCCACAGAAGCAGAAGGAATAACAGTGCACTTAATTTTAAGTTATTTAGGTTTAAAAGTGGCACATACCTATAGACACACACACAGTTTTATATATAAAATTTGCTTAAAATGGAGACAAGACTCATATACACAGTCCTTTAAGAAATGATCCAATACATTTTCATAGAATCATAGAAGTAGGGTCGGAAGGGACCTTGTAGATCTTCAAGTCCAACCTCCTGCCTGGGCAGGAGAAAAACTGGGCTCAAATGATCCCAGCCAGGTAGGCATCAATCCTCCTCTTAAAGACCCCCAGGGTAGGAGCCAGCGCTACTTCCCTTGGAAGTTGGTTCCAGATCCTAGCC